TCCCTATAGTTTTAGTAATTACAAAAATTACCTTTACTTTTGAGATTATTATTAAGATTCCTCTACTGTTAATTTATTAAACAGAATATGCTTGACGTCATGTACTATGAGTAAAAAATTTCAAGATTACTCTTATATATTCAAATAGTAAATTTCACTCATCTCTCCCCTGAGGTTTTACAAAAAAAATTAATAAAGACTCATATATTATTTTATTAATGTTAAACAAAATTATAAAATTCTATACAATATTTAAAAAATTTCTAAATTTTTAAGACAAACATATATATAGTAGAATAACCAAACATTACCTTATCTAAAAAAAAAAAAGAAGCTAAATCATTTATTTGAAAATTATTAAACAAAGTATAAAAGATGTTTTATTTTTTTTAAAACAGACCACCAATTTTATAAATAATTATTTTAAGAAATTAGAGTTTGAATAAAAATTTAAAAATACATATAGGTATTTGATTTTTTTTTCTATATAAAAAATACATATTTGGAGAAATTATCTCTCTCTTTCCATTTTCTTTATTTTATTTCTTTCATTTTTCTTTATTTTCTCATTTATTTTTTCATAGTGTCACTGTAGCCAATAGCAATACCATATAATTTATTATTATTATTATTATTATTATTATTATTATTATTATTATTATTATTTGTTCTCTTCTCTATGTTTTTTTCTCAATTTTTTTTCATCATTTTTTCTCATCAATGTTAGCCAGCATCACCCAATGCCAAAGCAACTTATGAAATATGAAATTTTCTTTTGTTTTGTAAACATGTTTGTGTATTAAATTTTTTAAAGAAAAGTAAACGTAATAACATTTCATATTTATAATAAAAAAATTGACTTATAAAAATTACCAAATATTATCTCATAAATATATAAAAAAATCAATTTATCTTTTCACAATCCTATATTATCCTCAAGTTTTAATTATCATTAAATCCTATATTATCCTCAAGTTTTAATTATCATTAAAAAAATAAGTCAATATTTCTCACCTTAATAATAAATTTTTAAAAAATAAATATAAAAGTGAAAAAAATATCTAATCACATTACAATAAATTAAAATTAGATGATAGGGAATAAAAGATAAATAAATTATTTCAGAATAATAAACTATTTAAAATTGTCATTTCTTACATCTAATTAAAATATAATTTTACTTGAAGAAATAAATTATTTGAAAATTATAAAATACTCAAATAATTTTGTTATTTATTGCATCTAAAATCTATATCTTCATCTTTGTTGCTTTCATTAAAATTATTTTTATTAAATTAAATCTCAAAATTAAATCAAATAACAAACATGAATATTCTTTCTTAATTTCATTAATGGTTGATTTTTTTTTTCTTTTATTTTTAAACTTATCAAAGTTCAAAACGTATAGTGGAAAAAAAAATACAAAGTCAAGGAAATACAAAAAAAAGTTATGAGAAATAAAATGATAATTTAATATATAGGTAAATTATAATTAAAGGGTGTTAAGCGTAAAGGGTACTTTGTCACGACCCGCTCCTCGTACCCAAGGGTTAAGCATCGTGATGGCCAGTAACCGAGGTTACTTCCGGCCAAATCTTTAAACAAATCAACAACGCAAGCGGAAGAAATATTTAAATAAGGATACTAAAATAATCATTGGAGCGTCTATTTTTATTACAAAATGTATTGACCAAAAAAGTCGATATTTACATAAAAAAATACATCAATAAAAGTGCTTTGTGCCTACCCCACGCGCTGGTCCCAACATGTAAGCTGAAAGTGGTAAAAACTATAAGCTCATGGCAGAGTGAGAAATATTATACCAAGAGTATAAGACATAAAATTCATCATGGATAATTAGTTAGGCCAAAAAGAATTTGATACATAGCATACATAATACAAAAATCATTTGACATATACTTCAGATCATTTAACATGTAATACAGAAATCACTATACAACCATAACCACGGTACATCACTAAGTGCTAAGCACTACACTAGTCAATGGATCCACGACAAACACTGGACCACAAAGTGGTCAATCACTAAGCCAATGGTTATTTAAATCCCCAAGGCATGGAACTCTCGTGGTGGTACTCACAAAACATATTTTCATATAAGGTCATAGCCAAATATTCTTTAAAAGTAAAACAAACATATCCATGGGTTTCCTTTTAAGCAAATAGGGTTTATAAAATAATTCATGTAACTGAAATTTTTATAAAACATAACTTTTATAAATATACTAATAAAACATAACTTGTATAAAATAGGTTTTAGTAAGTCAAAACATAAGTAAAATATATTTTGGAGACTCAAGATATAATATAACTCACCTTAACTTTAATACCTTACTATTTCTTTCCACTATCAAAGATGTTCTTAGCTTCTACTAATTTTTCCTGTCTTTCCTCTATTTCTTTCCCTCTCTTCTTTCTTTCTTTCTTTCCTGGTCTTCTTTTCTTTCTTTCTCTTTTCTTTTCTCTTACTGAGTCAATTTCTCCCTACTTATACAAATTACATTCGTGAGCCCCAAGCCAACAGCCACGTGTCGCCTTCCTATTAATCTCCATTAATTCAAGTCTATCCAAATTTAACTTAATTATTTATTTATACTTTGATCCCTAAATTTTAATAATATTATTTTACAAAATCACTCATAATAATATATAATAAATTATATATTTTTCGAACTGATATTGAATAATATTAGTATAAATTCTACAGAATAATTAGAAATTTGAGTTGTTACAATCTTCCCTCCTTTTAAAATTTCGTCCTCGAAATTTGTTATATGTACAAACTGTCCGCTGCGCACTCTGATAAATATATATTAGATGATTAATCTGATAGAAATAATATCTCAAAAAAAACTTTACCAAAAATCACTCGCTGTCTAGTTGTCAAAAATTAGTTTGGGCCAAAATGAGAAATAATGGGTGCCTTTAAAAACTTTTTACTCGTATTGTTCAGGATAAAAATAAATAAATGGAAATAAAATGAGATCACAATGACATAATCATATGTGAGAGTTGAAAAAAATTTGAGACGAACTTTTTATTTATTGGAAATAATTTCAAAATTAGTATGTTTAAAATTTGAACCCACTCTTAAAAAGTTGAAATTTTTTTTTTTTTGAATACTAAATTAGAATTTATGTATATTTAATTATATTATAATTTTTTTTTTTGTGGGTGTTTGACATCTTTTGTTTCTTTTTCATTCGTAAATTATATCTAATATCCTTTACAAATTATGCACAAATATATATATATATATATATAATCACATAAAATTATAATATAATTAAATCGACTAACAAAATATAATATTCAGGTACTAATTACCCGCTATCCTACTTTTTAAATGTGCGTGTGTCTTATGCTCCAATGATGATTTTCTTTTTTATAAATCATTGCTCTGATACCATTTTTCACGACTCGCTCCCCGTACCCAAGGGATAAGCATCGTGATGTTTTTTTATAAACCATTGCTTTGATACCATTTGTCACAACCCGCTCCCCGTACCCAAGGGTTAAGCATCGTGATGGCCAGTAACCGAGGTTACGTCCGGCCAAATCTTTAAACAAATCAACAACGTAAGCGGAAGAAATATTTAAATAAGGGTACTAAAATAATCATTGGAGCGTCTATTTTTATTACAAAATGTATTGACCAAAAAGGCCGATATTTACATAAAAAAAAATACATCAATAAAAGTGCTCTGTACCTACCCCACGCGCTGGTCCCGACATGCCACCTGAAAGTGGTAAAAACTATAAGCTCATGGCAGAGTGAGAAATATTATATCAAGAGTATAAGGCATAAAATTCACCATGGATAATTAGTTAGGCCAAAAAGAGTTTGATACATAGCATACATAATACAAAAATCATTTGATGTATACATGTAATACGACAATCACTATACAACCATAACCACAGTACATCACTAAGTGTCAAGCACTACACTGGTCAATGGATCCACGACAATCACTAAGTCAATGGTTATTTAAGTCCCCCAAGGCATGGGACTCACTAAGCCAATGGTTATTTAAGTCCCTCAAGGCATGGGACTCCCGTGGTGGTACTTACAAAACATATTTTCATATAAGGTTATAGTCAAATATTCTTTAAAAGTAAAACAGATATATTCATGGGTTTCCTTTTAAGCAAATAGGATTCACAAAATAATCCACGTTTTATAAAACATAACTTTTATTAATATACTAATAAAACATAACTTGTGTAAAATAGATTTTGGTAAGTCAAAATATAAGTAAAAACATTTTAGAGACTCAAGGTATAATATAACACATCTTAACTTTAATACCTTACTGTTTCTTTCCACTATCAAAAATCTTCTTAGCTTCCATTAATTTTTCATCTCTTTCTTTCCCTCTCTTCTTTCTTTCTTTCCTGGTCTTCTTTTCTTTCTTTCTCTTTTCTTTTCTCTTACTGAGTCAACTTCTCCCTACTTATACAAATTACATTCGTGAGCCCCAAGCCAACAACCACGTGTCGCCTTCCTATTAATCTCCATTAATTGAAGCCTATCCAAATTTAACCTAATTATTTATTTATATTTTGATCCTTAAATTTTTAATAATATTATTTTACAAAATCACGCATAATAATATATAATAAATTATATATTTTTTGAACTGAGATTAAATAATATTAATATAAATTCTACAAAATAATTAAAAATTTGAATTGTTACACTATGATCATTCGCACAACCAAGTTAATACCGTTTGACTTAAACTAACGGGGAGTAAAATAATCTTGACAATATCAAAAAAAAAAATAAGAGAAATTTTTGTAATTATTAAAATTATAATGGAGATTCTTGTAATTATTAAAAACCTGAGGAGAAGTGAGTGTAATACTCTATTTTATAGTTAACATGATTTTTTTGGGGTCTAATTTGAAATAAAAATTAATTTTAAAAAGTAAATTAACAAAATTCAAGAGTGAGAAAATGACAAAAAAACAAAGGGGTCAATTTTCTTGTACTCTGCTCTCTGGTTATTCAATTCCAAGCTTCTTTCTCTCACTCTCTCTCTCTCTCTGTCTCTCTGAACTCTCATGATACACATATGGAGAAAATAAATGAGTGGTCTGGTGCAATCGGATGTGGTATAATTGGTGTAGTATTATTGAGCTTGATATGGGGATCATGGAGAATATTGAATTGGGTATGGTTAAGACCGAAGAAGCTAGAGAGTTGCCTCAGAAAACAAGGTCTCAATGGAAACTCATACAAGCTCTTCTTCGGAGACATAAAAGAGAACTCCGCCATGAATAAAGAAGCTAGCTCCACTCGCATCAGCATCTCCGATGACGCAGTGCCTAGTCGTGTCTTGCCCTTCATTCATACCCAAATCTCCAACTATGGTACGTTTCCAGTCTGATTGTACACCTCTATCTTTGGATTTATTTTATTTTATTTTTATATTTTAAATTCGTATTTTTTGTTTTTGTTTTTGTTTTTGTTTTTACTGAATATGTTAAAATATATAAAAGTATATTAATACAAAATTATTAATCTATTTAATCTGATAAAGTACAAAATTTAGAAAATTTGAGATTAAGATTTTATAAAACCAAATTACATACAATATTATCATAGCAGTGAAATCTCTTAATATTTTTATAGAGAAATTTCAATCTTTTCAAAGAAAAATTTCACCTTATAAATTTTTACAATTTAAAATTTTTCTAATAATATTATTGAAACACCTTAACTAATAAAAAAAAACATATTAGGCTTCTATTAAAGTTAGAGAGGGATAGCTCATTGATTTCTTCTAAAATTTATAAAATAATTTTTTAAAAATTTACGAAATACAAAAAATATAAAATTTTATTTTTTATTTTTTGTATTTATTAATTTTTTAAATTTTGTTTTTAAGGAAAATATATATATAAAAAACTTAGGGTTCTTATAACAAAATAATTTTTAAATTTTATTAATTTAAATCTTAATCTTTTGATTTATTTTTAATTTAAACAATTTGCCTATTTTTATTTAAAAAAATTAAATGAAAAGTAACATTTTAATTATTGAAGAAAAGAAGAAGATATTTTAGACATTTTATGTCCACTTAACTAAAATATTATTTTTTTATCAGTTTATTTAACGAAAATAAGCAATCATTTATATTAAAAATTAATTAAAAGATAAGGGTTTACTAACTTGATAAAATAAAAAAAAATTCAGATTTATTTTGTTATAAGAGTCGATTTCTTTTATAATTAACCAATTTTTTTTTTTTGGGAAAATTATTTAATATTTTACCTTTTTAAATAATTTAAAACATAAAAAAGTTAATTAAAAAATTAGAAATGTTCACTAGAAAGCAAAAGGAAAATTTATCTATAAATACCATCTTGAGGAATGGTGATCTGATTAGTTCCAAAAAAATTTTTATAGACCAATTATTCACATTCATTGATTTTGGAAACGTAGATTTAATATATTATTTAGAAATTAAATTTATGTTTATATGCTTATTTCTATTATGTGTCTTTTTTTCTTTTTTTTCTTTTTTGTGCTAGAAAGATAAGATACACAATATATAAGAATTAAATTTGGGATGAATTTTTATATGAAAATCTTTTTTATTTAGAAAATATTTCAAAAAAGTAAAAAAATGACTTGAAATATAGAATTCTTCAAACATTTCGAAAGGAGTACTAAAAGTCCTTAGAAAGTTTTGAGCAAATATTAATTTCAAACTGTAACACTCAAATGTAACACTTTAAAAAAATTTCTTAGTATATACTTCTCAAACAATACTCCAAAAAAAGTCCTTAGTGTAAACTCTAATGTAACATACAAAAAAATCCTTAGTGTATTTTTTCCAAGCGTAACACTCCAAAAAAATGATGTAGGACTCTTCAAACCATTCCAAAAGGATGTGACATTCGTCAAATCATTTCAAAATGAGTACAAAAGTTCCTTAACAAGCTTTGGGCAAATGTATAATTTCAAATTGTGAGTGTTACGTTTGAAAAAAGTACATTAAGGAGTTTTTAGTATTTTTGTGTATGTCACATGGAAATGTGTTATATTGGAGTGTTATGTTTGAAATTGTATTGATTCGAGTGTTACGTTTGGAAAAAAAAGTATACTAAGAAGTTTTTTTGCGTGTTACATTAGGGTGGTACGTTTGGGCAAAGTGCACCAACGAGTTTTTTTGGAGTGTTACGTTATTAGTTTGAAAAAAGTATACTAATGAGTTTTTTAGTGTGTTACATTAGAGTATTACGTTATTAGAGTATTTCATCGGAGTGTTACGTTTTTGTTTGTAATGTGAGATTCGTTCTAGAAGGAGGGAAAATCCAAAACCTCTATAGTGCAGATTGCCCAAATGTGTAATTTCACATTTGGAGAATCCCATTTTTATCTCTAAAAAATTGGACCCAAATACGTAAGCGACTATCCTTTTGTGTAATGCCTACTTTAATGGAACCTTTGGGTTCATAAGAAAAAATGAAGGACTAAATAGCTTATAAGATCACATTTTAAAATTTATTGGTGCTTCACCCAAAGCAAAAGGAAAATATTAGAATTTAGAATTGAAAAACAGAAACATTTCTTTGATTTGGATAATAAAGTCAATATAATTTTCCATTGAAGGTTAATGCGTTTAAAGATCATGAATATGTGACCTGAGTAAAGAAACGCATTGACTTGATAGAGAATGCCAAACTTTATGAGCATTTGTTTGCCCTAGAACATGGGGCAAAACACGTTTTGAAATGCGATTTCCAGATGAATCAGTGAAAAATGATGATGGTGGGCATGGAATGAATCCATCAAAATAACCAAGAAGAGAACTAGATCTTACATAAGTTTCGACTTGATTCTTTCACAAAATGTAATTTTTGATAGTGACACAAGGGAGTGAAATTGGATACAGTAAAATCTAATCAAGAAGGTAAGATTATTGTAGATGCAGAAGAATTTGAATCAGCAATTGAATATGTAAACCAAAACAACTCAGATAATTGAAACAAGACAGATTTGACTAAGGAGGATACTTCTCAACTTGAGAAGTTGCAGTTGTGGAACAAAGTTGAGAACAAACTCTAATGAGATTGCCAAAAGACGGAAAATTGTTACCAGAGTAAGAAGAATGATGTCTTCAGTTGATGACGGACGGAACAGCGTAGCACTACTAACTAACTCAATGACGGACACAGTCGTAACTACCATAACTAACTCTTCTTGCTTACTATAAGCAAGAATTTTACTTTCTTAATTTGGAAAATATAGGTCCTGTGATATTATTAATTAACTCATCATGTCATTGTCTTATGAACTTCACTATTTACGTATATATATTGCTTGCTTCAGTTTGTTCAAGGAATATTTATTTGATCGCTCTTGATTCTTGAACTTCTATTTGACGTTTTTGGTTATAAGTTGCAGGAAAGAAGTCTTTTACGTGGTTTGGACCAATACCTAGTGTTACCATCATGGACCCTGAACTTGTAAAGGAGGTCTTGTCTAAGAATTTCAAATATCAAAAGGCCAAGTCTAATCCATTTGTCAAGTTGTTAGCCAATGGACTAACTAGCCTTGATGGTGAGCAATGGGCTAAACACAGAAAAATCATCAACCCGGCTTTCCATATGGAGAAGTTGAAGGTTATTTCCACCATTTTTCTTATATCATTAGGGTTCAATACAGTGTTGGTTCCCAAAGTATGCACTCTGTTTCATTTTGGTTTCCCACTCTTCGATTTTTCAATGGAGTCAATTTGATCCCCAACTAATATGGTTCGACATTTCCATCCAAATTTTGGGAAAAAAAAAAAAAATACCCCATCCTTCCATTATAAAATTTGGTTGAAATGGTGCTAAGGACCATTTAAACACAAATTGGGCAAGTTGGGGACCAAATTGACGGGTTGAAATATCATGGATTAGAATGACATAGAATGCATACTTTGAGGACCAATAGTGTATTTAACCATATTAGTTATTTAAGCTTAGTTGCTCTATTTAGTTAAATATTTTAGTGGTCGTTTGCTGTGTCTAAATGCAACTTCATGATAGAACAAAATTCTACATATATATATATATATATGTATATGTATCAATTGGTTTCTTAGTGTTGTCTTCTTCTTCTTCTTCTTCGTGTACAGCCTGCAATATGGTTACTGACGGAGTCTTGGTTTTTTGGTCTTTTGATTTTGTTTATAGCATATGGTACCTGCATTTTATTTGTGCTGTAGTGAGATGATAAACAAATGGGAGAACAATATTGCCTTAACAGAAGGGTCATGTGAGGTGGATGTGTGGCCTTATCTTCAAACTTTGACTAGCGATGTGATATCTCGCGCAGCCTTTGGTAGCAACTATGAAGATGGAGGAAAGATATTCAAACTTCAGAAAGAACTACTTGTACTTATAATCCAGACTGTCAGTACAGTTTACATCCCAGGCTTGAGGTAAAATCAAATTGTCTCAAATACTTAATTTGAATATTTTTTCTATTTGGTTGGACTTGCATATATTAGTTTGAGAGGAAGTATAGGTAAAATTCTAGGTGTATCTAACAATGCTGTATTAGTTTAGCTCCTTTTTTTTGTTAGAAAATGTGAAAGATATATATTTCAAAACTAGGGAAGATAAATAGAAATCTAAATATATGATATTTGAGGGGGAAAAAAAATTGAAAAGAAAAAAAGATAGGGCATACAATGACCAAATTGACATAAGGGATAAAGTTTAAGGACCATCTATATAATTTGCCCAAAAAGATGTTTATTTTTGTTTTTATATTATTTATTGGGTATATTGAACGGGGAGGGGGAATCGAACCTATGACCTCCTAGTGAAGTTGACGAGCTCTGGCCACTCGGCTAACGCCAATAGTTAAAAAGATATATCATGGTTGCTAGCTTGCTATATATGCCTCGTTACTGCATATGTAGGTTTTTGCCAACTAAGAGGAATAGGAGGATGAAAGAAATTGATAAAGAAATACAGAGGGGGAAAAAAAATTGAAAAGAAAAAAAGATAGGGCATACAATGACCAAATTGACACAAGGGATAAAGTTTAAGGACCATCTATATAATTTTCCCAAAAAGATGTTTATTTCTGTTTTTATATTATTTATTGGGTATATTGAACGGGGAGGGGGAATCGAACCTATGACCTCCTAGTAAAGTTGATGAGCTCTGGCCACTCGGCTAATGCCAATAGTTAAAAAGATATATCATGGTTGTTAGCTTGCTATATATGCTTCGCTACTGCATGTGTAGGTTTTTGCCAACTAAGAGGAACAGGAGGATGAAAGAAATTGACAAAGAAATACATGTTACACTGAGTGTTATCATTGATAGAAGAATGAAGGCAATGAAGGAAGGAGAAACTAGTAAAGACGACTTACTGGGTATATTACTAGAATCCAATCTCAGAGAAATCGAACAGCATGGGAATAACAGGAAAGATGGAATGACTATTGAAGAAGTTATTGAAGAATGCAAGCTATTCTATATTGCTGGGCAGGAGACCACGTCGATTTTGCTTGTGTGGACTATGATTTTATTAAGTAGGCATCAAAATTGGCAACAACGTGCAAGGGAAGAGGTATTGCAAATATTTGGGAACGACAAACCCAACTTTGATGGCTTAAATCGCCTCAAAATTGTAAGTACATACCTTCTATACACACTCTGGGAAATCATTAATTCTTGTGGACATTATTGCATAAAAGATTATATTCCTACTTACCAAACAAGTATTCGTTGTGCTTTTGTTTCCCTCATTGTTTCTTTTTTTCCCTTTGAAATTCAAATTCATGACCAGTATAAGACCCTTAAAATGCATGTATCATTTTGTTATGCCAATAAGATCTGGGAATGTTAATTTTCTTGCATATTTATATAAAGAAAATGTTAGACTACCAAAATTTCTATGCAAGATCCAAAATGATATATGGCAGTGACATAGTTATAAGAGTAATTCTATACACCATAGTGGACTTCTAAACCTGCCTTAACCAACTCTGGAACAACATATTAATGCAGAAAACGCCATATTTAGTACTATATGACGTGTTTACATATTTTGTTACCCAAATTTTTTAGAATAGTTGAAGCTATGTGTGTCATTTATTTATATAATGAGGGGTTACAATTGTCATCATGTAAGACTTGAGTTAAATATAAATAAAGTGTTGAGGGGAAGGGTTGAATTAATAAACCCAGAACCCTATTACTTGCGTATTCCTCCTTTGCGTTCTTCTTCTTCTCTCTCTCACCTTAACCTTAAATTCTGTATACTTTAATCTTTGACTTGGTATCAGAGCAAGGTTCAACAGACTCTGGAGATTTTTGCAACGTAACAATGGTGTGCTGACATCATCATCTGTACGATGACGTCAGCATAGTGTCAGGTCCATACGGACAACTTGATTTGGGAAAACCCTTGTCTGATTCGAAATTTCGTCCTGGTATTTATGGTTATTTTTACACAATTAATTGGAGACATCTGATGTAAGTTTTTGATTTTTGAATGTTTTTCGGCAATACTGTGGCCCATCCTGTGATATATGATTCCAGCACCTGTTGCCTAGTTTTGGTTGTTAAAACATCATCTATGGGAGCTGACTGAACCCATTAGGGCTTTCTTTGATGTTTGTTTGATGTCTTGGTGCACTTAGGCTGAGATTTCATTCGTTTTTGGCATTTCTCTACCTATTTCAGCACACTGTTGTTAGTCTGATTGCTTGTCTATGGCTGGAACAGCTCTATAACTACTTTAATTAGGTAATTTGGATTGTTGCTTGTTGGTGTTGGGTGGTTCTTTAGGTGGTTTTGTTCTATAGTTTTTTTTTTTTGGGTATTTCTTTACAACTTGGGTCTGTGATGGCTGATGCATTACCTCCAGCAGTGAACACTGAGGTATCTCACTCTCCTTTGTTCAAAGATGATGACTTGCCAAGTCTGTTACTACCAAGAAATTGAATGGTTTAAACTATCTTGCTAGAGCTCATGCTGTTAATGTTTTTTTGCAAGATAAGAAAAAATTGTGTTCCATCACTGCACTTCCTCCATCTGAAACGGATACCACTTATGATGATTGGTGCAGCGAGGATTCTTGTGTTATGGGTTGGCTTTGGTATAGCTTGGAACCTATTGTTGTTACCACTGTTGAGTTTTGTGAGACGTCTAAGCAAATTTGGGATTCTCTTGCTGATTCTTTTTCGCATCAGAGTGATGTGTCTCGGGTGTATGATTGTATGAGCAGATTTTTGCTACTAAGCAATCTAGTCGACCACTCTTTTACGTATCACAGCAGCCTTACACATCTGTGGGATCAGTTGTTACAACATCGACCTTTCACTACGGACTTTGGGAGGAGTTTATGGTTTCTTCTTTGCTCATTGGTTTAGATTCCAATTTGCGTGGCTTCAAGGATTATATTTTGGCCAGCGAGATTTTACCTTCAGCAGCCAATGCTTGTTCTCGCTTATTATGATCTTCTTTGGGACACAATTCTAGTATTTCTGGCTCTGCTCGTTCGATCGGTGCTTTCTCTGCTTTGGTTTATGGTCGGGTACCACTCTTAGTGGGTCTCGTGGCAACTTTGGGTCTCGTGGTTCCCAAACTAGTTATCATGGGAATAGTTCCCGTGATAGTGGTTCATATCATGGCTCACGTGTAGTGGTTCACGTGGTGGTCGTGGCTCAGCTTCTCATGGTGATTGGAAGTGTGATTATTGTGGTTCCATTGGTCATACTGAGCCTTGGTGTTGGCAAAAGTATGGCGAGCCTAATCATGTAAATCAGGTCTTTGATGTTACTACCTCGTCCCCGACTCCCTTTGGCTCTATAGCTCATCATTTGATTCTCACAAGGCACTCACTACTTGGATTAATGAGCTTATTTCCATTCTTTGGTCTGCTCTTCCCTCATCCTCTACTGCCACCTTGGTGGGTTCAGGTAATATTGCACGTATGGCCCAATCTAACCAACCTTGGCTCCTACTAGTTCTCACATTTATGGTAATTCATCACTTTTTCATGCTTTTCATCCTATTACCCATAATATTGTTCTTGCTGATGGGTCCTCTCGGCTTGTTAGTGGGATAAGTACCCTTCATCCCACCCCCGCTTTATCTTTACCCACTAGTCTATATGTTCCTCATTTTCCATTTAATTTGTTGTCTGTTAGTCAATTGACTAAAGCTCTTCATTGTTCTATAACCTTTTCTCCTACTTCTTGTGTTTTGTAGGACCTCAAGACCAAGAAGATGATTGGTTCAGACATGAGCAGCAAGGCCTTTATTATTTGGATACTGACAACTCCTGTCTCCCTTCAACTCCTATTCTGAGTGCCACCATTTCTCCTTTGCAATGACATTTTCGTTTGGGTCATTCGTCTTTGGCCAAGTTGAAGTTTGTTGTTCTTGGTTTTAGTCATGTGTCTACCGTAGAATGTGAAGCTTGTCAGCTTGGAAAACATCACCGTAGTTCTTTTTCTAGTCATAATGTTAGTCGTGAGTTTGAGTCCTTTGATGTAGTCCACACGGACATATGGGGTCCTTGTACTTTCACCCTTCATGGTTTTTTATATTTTGTTATTTTTGTGGATGATTTCTCCCGAATGACTTAGTTGTTTTTAATGAGAAATCGCTCTAAGTTCCTCACGTATTATTCACGTTTTATAATGAAATTTAAACTCAGTTTGTTAAGTGTATTAAAGTGTTTCGTTCTGATAATTCAGTCTATTGTGAACTCCTTTTGTGTTGATCGAGGTATCATTAATCAGACTACTTGTGCTCGCACTTCTCAGCAAAATGGGGTCGTTAAACGGAAACACCGTCATGTATTAGATGTTGCTCGTACCTTATTATTCAAGTGCCTAAACACTTCTAGGCGATGCTTTCCTTACAACATGTTTTCTCATTAATCGTATGTCATCAGCTGTGTTGCATAATCAGTCTCCGTTCTCCTTGTTATATCTTTTTTGTTCCTCATTCCCTTTTCCACCTCGGGTTTTTGGTTGTGTAGCATTTGCTTATGTTCTTGATCTTAGTCAGGATAAGTTGTCCCCCTCGTGCTCGCAAGTGTGTTTTTTTAGGCTATTCTTATACACAAAAGGGTTATCGTTGTTATCATCCTGAGTCCCGTTGTTATTTGGTCAGTGTTGATGTCACTTTTTTTTGAGTCCACCTTGTTCTTCTCTACACAAGGCCAACAGTTGTCTCCAAATCTGTTCTCGTGTCGTGAGAGGGAGCCTTTCTTTCCCTCAGCCACTCCTATATCTACTCTTCCCATGCTTGATGTGTTCTCATCTTCCATTCTTTCATCTCCTCTTCTGCTGCCACATGTGCCTCCCCTCCGTCTTCTCCATTGCCCACTTCGTCTTCTCCATTGCAGGTCTATCAGAGATCCCACAATTGACGATTAGTACATCTTCTCCGTCTGAGGTTCCTGTTCTCTTTTCTCCTCTAGCCTCTACTAATTTGCCTATTGCTTTGCGTAAAGGTAAACGTATTTGCATTCAGCATTCTATTTTCAAGTTTGTTTCCATATGCTTGTATTTCTCTTGTTTTGCTTTCCTTTGCTTGTAGTTTGTCTTCTCTGTCTATTCCCACTTCTTATCGACAGGCTATGTCCAGCTCTAGCTAGAAACATGCTATGGATAAGGAGATACGTGCTCTCTACCAAAATCTGGCATGGGAGCTTCCTACTCTTTCCTCTAGGAAGCCTATTGTTGGGTGTTGTTGGATTTACACTGTTATGTATCTCTTTAATGGCTTCATTGAACGCCTTAAGGCCTGTTTAGTTGCAAAAGGCTACATCAAAACTTATGGCGTTGACTATCTTGAGACCTTTTTTCTTGTGGCTCGTCTTAATTCAGTTTAGATACTCCGCTCTGTTACTGTTAGTTGTTCTTGGCTCTTATATCAGCTTGACATAAAAAATGCCTTTCTCCATGGTGATTTGCAAGGCGAGGTATGTATGGACCAAACTCTTGGTTATGTTGTGACTGGTTCTTAGCACCTTGCTTGTCATTTGCGGAAGGCTTAATTGAAAACCCTAACCCATACTTTTCCTTAAAACCCAAGTATTAAGGAGAGGGAAACAGGAGCCTTATAATCAGTACAGATGGGGTAATTCCAAGCGATGTGGGACACATTCCAACACACCTTCTTGGACCACAACATACAGTAGCTGAACAAACGACACACCAATCACAGGCTCAACCAAGCTCTGATACCAAATTGAAGGGTGTTTTGGGAAGTTGGTTAAAAGCTGGCTTTTTGGCTTCTTTAGCTTATTTTGTCTTTTTGTGGGTAAGTTATGTGAGAGATGATGTGACATAAAATGGGTTAAAAGCTGGAAACTAGTTTTTAACCAGCTTCCCAAAAAAGGCCTGAAAAGCCCAGCCCACACTTCTCCTTAAAATCCAAGTATTAAGGAGAGGAAAGTTAGAACCTTATAACTAGCATAGAAAGGGCTACTCCAAGCGATGTGGGACACATGCCAACACATCCTCCTGGACCACAACATACAATAGCCGGACAAACGGCACACCAATCACAGGCTCAGCCAAGCTCTGATACCAAGTTAGAAAGCCCAACCCACACTTCTCCTTAAAACCTAGGTATTAAGGAGAGAGAAACTGGAGCCTTACAACCAGTACAGCTGGGGTAATTTCAAGTGATGTGGGACACATTCCAACAGGTTTTATATGGATTGAAGCAATCTCTCCATGCTTGGTTTGACCACTTCAATCATATTGTGCTTGCCTATGGTTTTCAAAGATCTAGATCATTCTGTTTTTGTTCGCTAGTCCTTCGCTAGGGTTGTAGTCTTGATTGTTTATGTGGATGATATCATTTTTTTCGGCACTGATTCTCTTGGGATTGCTGATTTGAAACACTATTTAAGCAGTTTCATACTAAGGAGCAACATGTTTGCATGAGAAACTACAATTTCATTTGCTAAAAAGTCAAAATTTGTATAATATTTTAGGGCAAGAAACAATATTTTGTATGCACAATGTTGTACTTCATTTAAATTAAATTAACTGTTATCTTTAAAATTTCTCCTTCTCAGGTGACTATGATTTTGTATGAAGTTTTACGGTTATACCCACCGGTAGTTTGGTTGCACCGAGTGGTCCATGAAGATATGAAATTAGGAGGAATCACCCTCCCAAAGGGAGTGCTACTTTCTTTACAGGTAATGCTACTTCATTATGACCATGAAATTTGGGGTGAGGATGTAAAATTGTTCAAGCCAGAGAGGTTTTCAGAAGGAGTGTCGAAGGCAACAAAGAATAACCAAGCTTCATTTTTCCCATTTAGTTCAGGGCCTCGGGTATGTATTGGACAAAACTTTGCAATGTTAGAAGCCAAGATGGCCATAGCTATGATTCTACAACAATTCTCTTTTGAGATTTCACCGTCCTATACTCATGCTCCGTTCAAAATGGGAACTCTTCAGCCTCAATATGGTGCTGGAAACATGAGTGGGTGGTATAAAGTAAGAGAAATGAGGGATATGATTAAAGTGGGTCGAGTGGAGAGAAAAAACAAAAGGGACCAGAGAGAGAGGGAGTGGGGTGATTAAAAAAGGTTTTAAGCATAAAGTGCATGTGGGAGGTATAATAGAGGGTCATAGGCAATTCGGTGGGTCATAGGCAAGTGGGAGGTATAATGGACTGTCATAAAGAGCACCTCTTGGACCAAGTAAAAGATAAATTCCACCATCTCATAACATCAGCTCTGTAAAGTGCACCTCTTGGATGTAAAGTGAGAGAGAGAAAGAGAGGAGATACATGTGCTCTCTCTGAAGAGATATGCAGTGGCACACAGTCTGGTAAAGCATTCCATGAAAAGCACATAGTTTCACTAATTCCTTTTATTCCGAAACTTGTATTCCAAGTAGCGGGTTTTTGGAAGTCGCGTATTCTACAGGCTTTTACAGAGACTTTCAAAAGTGGCAAGCTAGAGTCTTCACTGAAATGGACTTGCCTTTCTGCAATTGAAGAAATGCTGGTTCCGAGACAAGGCTTGAAGCAGCTAGCTGCAAGTGATCCAGAATTGTTAGACTATCAGATTACTTGGATGAGAGAGCTTCCTCTGCTGTTAATCATGTTAGATGATAAACACCCATTACGTTCCAGGAGTGTACTGAGTCTTCTACTTCGGCTGGGACAATGTGCTATTGCAAACACTTTCTTTGCACAGGAGTATGACAACATGCAGGAGCTCATTGGCATAGGAGGGGTTGTGGTGGCGGAAGACAACAGAAGCGGCTGTCATAGCGGCGGTGGTCTCGCCGGCGAGGTCCGATCCGGGGTTGTTCGGGTCGATCTTGTAAACTTGCCTTGAAGGGGGCATGTCCTCTGGCCTTTGAAGGTAACCAGATCTCTGAGCATTGTAAGTAACAATAGAGAGTATATTAACCGAACCTAGAAGAGTACACAGAGATGTTCTGACAAGAAAAAATGATAGCGGAATAAGTTGAGGTCCGGCGGGCGGCTAAGGTGAGGTTGCCGCCCGTCGGGAAGCGAAAATACTAGGTTCTAAACCTGCTCTGATACCATGTAAAAAATCAATGTATAAAGAGAAAAATACAGAGAGAATAAATGTATCTATTGATATTATTTATTGATGAATATTGATGTTCTTGTCTATTTATTTGTTATTTTTGTGGATGATTTCTCCCGAATGACTTAGTTGTTTTTAATGAGGAATCGCTCTAAGTTCCTCACGTATTATTCACGTTTTATAATGAAATTTAATTTGTTAAGTGTATTAAAGTGTTTCGTTCTGATAATTCAGTCTATTGTTAACTCTTTTTGTGTTGATCGAGGTATTATTAATCAGACTACTTGTGCTTGCACTTCTCAGCAAAATGGGGTCGTTAAACGGAAACACCGTCATGTATTAGATGTTGCTCGTACCTTATTATTCAAGTGCCTAAACACTTATGGGCGATGCTTTCCTTACAACATGTTTTCTCATTAATCGTATGTCATCAACTGTGTTGCATAATCAGTCTCCGTTCTCCTTGTTATATCCCTTTTGTTCCTCGTTCCCTTTTCCACCTCGGGTTTTTGGTTGTGTAGCATTTGCTTATGTTCTTGATCTTAGTCAGGATAAGTTGTCCCCCCCGTGCTCGCAAGTGTGTTTTTTTAGGCTATTCTTATATACAAAAGGGTTATTGTTGTTATCATCCTGAGTCCCATTGTTATTTAGTCAGTGTTGATGTCCCTTTTTTTTGAGTCCACCTTGTTCTTCTCTACACAAGGCCAACAGCTGTCTCCAAATCTGTTCTCGTGTCGTGAGAGGGAGCCTTTCTTTCCCTCATCCACTCCTATATCTACTCTTCCCATGCCTGATGTGTTCTCATCTTCCATTCTTTCATCTCATTTTGTGTTGCCACATGTGCCTCCCCTCTGTCTTCTCCATTGCCCACTTCGTCTTCTCCATTGCAGGTCTATCAGAGATCCCAGAATTGACGATTAGTACATCTTCTCCTTCTGAGGTTCCTGTTCTCTTTTCTCCTCTAGCCTCTACTAATTTGCCTATTGCTTTGCGTAAAGGTAAACGTATTTGCACTCAGCATTCTATTTCCAAGTTTGTTTCCATATGCTTGTATTTCTCTTGTTTTCCTTTCCTTTGCTTGTAGTTTGTCTTCTCTGTCTATTCCCACTTCTTATCGACAGGCTATGTCCAGCTCTAGCTAGAAAAATGCTATGGATAAGGAGATACGTGCTCTCTACCAAAATCAGACATGGGAGCTTCCTACTCTTTCCTCTAGGAAGCCTATTGTTGGGTGTCGTTGGATTTACACTGTTAAGTATCTCTTTAATGGCTTCATTGAATGCCTTAAGGCTTGTTTAGTTGCAAAAGGCTACATCAAAACTTATGGTGTTGACTATCTTGAGACCTTTTTCCTTGTGGCTCGTCTTAATTCAGTGTAGATACTCCGCTCTGTTACTGTTGGTTGTTCTTGGCTCTTATATCAGCTTGACATAAAAATGCCTTTCTCCATGGTGATTTGCAAGGCGAGGTATGTATGGACCAAACTCTTGCTTATGTTGTGACTGGCTCTTAGCACCTTGCCTGTCATTTGCGGAAGGCTTAATTGAAAAGCCTAACCCATACTTTTCCTTAAAACCCAAATATTAAGGAGAGGAAAACTGAAGCCTTATAATCAGTACATATGGGGCAATTCCAAGCGATGTAGGACACATTCCAACACACATTCCTGGACCACAACATACAGTAGCTGAACAAACGACACACCAATCACAGGCCCAACCAAGCCCTGATACCAAATTGAAGGGTGTTTTGGGAAGTTGGTTAAAAGCTGACTTTTTGGCCTTTTTAGCTTATTTTGTCTTTTTGTGGGTAAGTCATGTGAGATGATGTGACCTAAAATGGGTTAAAAGCTGGAAGCTAGTTTTTGACCAGCTTTCGAAAAACGGCCTGAAAAGCCCAAGCCCACACTTCTCCTTAAAATCCAAGTATTAAGGAGAGGGAAGTTAGAACCTTATAACTAGCATAGAAAGGGCTACTCCAAGCGATGTGGGACACATGCCAACACATCCTCTTGGACCACAACATACAGTAGCCGGACAAATGGTACACCAATCAGTGGCTCAACCAAGCTCTGATACCAAGTTAGAAAGCTGAACCCACACTTCTCCTTAAAACCTAGATATGAAGGAAAGAGAAGCTGAAGCCTTACAACCAGTACAGATGGGGTAATTTCAAGTGATGTGGGACACATTCCAATAGGTTTTATATGGATTGAAGCAATCTCCCCGTGCTTGGTTTGACCACTTCAATCATGTTGTGCTTGCCTATGGTTTTCAAAGATCTAGATCATTCTATTTTTGTTCGCTAGTCCTCTGCTAGGGTTGTAGTCTTGATTGTTTATGTGGATGATATCATTTTTTTCGGCAGTGATTCTCTTGGGATTGCTAATTTGAAACACTATTTAAGCAGTTTCATACTAAGGAGCAACATGTTTGCATGAGAAACTACAATTTTATTTGCTAAAAACCTAAAATTTCTGTCAAAATTTGTATAATATTTTAGGGAAGGAAAAATATTTTGTATGCACAATGTTGCACTTCATTTAAATTTAATTAACTGTTATCTTTAAAATTTCTCCTTCTCAGGTGACTATGATTTTGTATGAAGTTTTACGGTTATACCCACCGGTAGTTTGGTTGCACCGAGTGGTCCATGAAGATATGAAATTAGGAGGAATCACCCTCCCAAAGGGAGTGCTACTTTCTTTACAGGTAATGCTACTTCATTATGACCATGAAATTTGGGGTGAGGATGTAAAATTGTTCAAGCCAGAGAGGTTTTCAGAAGGAGTGTCGAAGGCAACAAAGAATAACCAAGCTTCATTTTTCCCATTTAGTTCAGGGCCTCGGGTATGTATTGGACAAAACTTTGCAATGTTAGAAGCCAAGATGGCCATAGCTATGATTCTACAACAATTCTCTTTTGAGCTTTCACCATCCTATACTCATTCTCCGTTCACTATGGGAACTCTTCAGCCTCAATATGGTGCTCACTTGATTCTACACAAACTTTAAAGCGAGTCTTTGCATAGGATTGAGATGGATTTCCTCTATTGCTTTGAGGGAAATGCTCCGGTATTATTTTATCAGTCCTTTCATTAATGTTTGACTTCATATACTTTCTATTGTCTTGAAATTACATCAATGAACATCTTATTTGAGTCATATCTATCTTCTTTTACATGGTGTATGTTTTGCTGGAATGAAATTGTTTATTGTTGGTTTGAAAGCTTGGAATATTAGCATATCATCTTAAATTTTAAGACCATGATTCCATGAATTCCAATCATAACTTGCATTTCCAGCTTCAAAAAAAAAAGAAAAAGAAGAAGAAGATAGAAGAAAGGAAAAAATAAATTATTTGTGAAGATATGTGAGGTTCATGATAATACTAACCCCCTTGTGTAGTCTTAAATTATTATTGTCACACCACCTTGGGTGGTTTTGCTCCATTAATGACATGCCCGCCCAACACGAGAATTGACACCTCTTTGGTAAATTCATCTCTGCAATGCGTCTTATGTACATACATACTGTGGGAAACTAATGACAACAAACTACATTTCAGATGGAACATGATGTGTTGAAAAGGACATTTCAGCCCAACTCGGCCTGGCCCACTCTTGATTGCATCCATTTCTAATTTTATTTTATTTAATTTTTTTGGATAAATTTTGAGTTAGTTTTATATGATAAACTTAAATAGCTATATAGGTCCTGTACACCTTAATGCAGTAATAAGTCTTAGGTTGATAAAGGTTTAGGGGTGGCTAGATTCCCACCTAAACCCTGACCACAGTGGCTCCTAGCCCAATGTAGATACCGGCAACAAAGATAAGGGACAGGAGAAATGATCCCGCTTGAAGCTCTAACAATGGAGCAAATTTTACAAAGAAGGAATTGGGGTGGTTGTGTTGTGTCCCGTACAGCGGCTACTGGTGTGCCGTTGATGAATCTCATTTTAAGATTTTTATATATAACTAAACAAAAAAGTGGTAAGGAACGAAGAGGAACCGAAAAAGTAAAAAGTTATCAAATTACGATTCAATTAATTCTTATGCAATTTTTTAAATAAATGAAAGTTATGAGAAAAAAAATTGTAGAACAACTAACACCTGAGATTCAATCAAGAGCTTTCGATTGATTCTCAGATCTATGATCATAACAAAGCCTATGGCAAAGCATATGACAAATTGTATTTATAGACCAATTCAAAGAGCACTAAATATTAAACTCGTGCATAAACATATCATAGTAACTTCGTGGATACAATCTGAAGACATCTCAGCAATTTTCAAAACAATTCAAGTTTTTACTTTTTATTTGTATGGTCCATGATTTGTTTGTTCATAGGAAAATACTATGGCACACATTCTATGCATCTTATAACTAAAAAAAAAAATGACACAATTTTAATTTTTTAAATCATAACTAAAAAAATGAAAAATTATCGTAACTAAACATAACATAAAACATAACTGAATAACTTATGAGTCATAACTAAAATAATATCATAACTAAAAAAAAATTGTCATATTTAAAAAAAATCATAATTAAAAGTATATACGCTGCATCCTTTTTAAAAAAAAGATGTATACTCCTATTAGAATTTTGTAGGTTCATAACATGGTGGCCATTTAGGCATATTGTCAAACACATAGTCAACATGTGCGTGTTTTGTATTAGGAAAACATGAAAAGAACTTCACATAGGAACAACAGAGTTGCAAGTCCACGCACGTAACAACTGTGCCTCCTGCTTAAGATGATTTAGCAAAAGAAAACAATAAGGGCATGTTTGGCACTTTCATATAATGGTCATGGTACCCCCCCTATCTATATATGATGGTCATAGATAAGGATGGAGTATAGTCAACAATGACTTTTACACCAAGAAAATTGTCAAATTTGGGGTATCAGTCTGATACCCTGCTCTCTGGTTATCCAATTCCAAGCTTCTTTCTCTCATTTCTCTCTCTTTGTGTGTGAACTCTCATGGGTACACATATGGAAAAAATAAATGAGTCGTCTGGTGCAATCGGATGTGGTATAATTGGTGTAGTATTATTGAGCTTGATATGGGGATCATGGAGAATATTGAATTGGGTATGGTTAAGACCGAAGAAGCTAGAGAGTTGCCTCAGAAAACAAGGTCTCAATGGAAACTCATACAAGCTCTTCTTCGGAGACCTAAAAGAGAGCTCCGCCATGGATAAAGAAGCTAGCTCCACTCGCATCAGCATCTCCGATGACGCAGTGCCTAGTCGTGTCTTGCCCTTCATTCATACCAACGTCTCCAACTACGGTGCGTTTCATCACATCTCTTTATGTTTTGATCTAGACTGAAACGGGCAACTCTTTTTTATTTTGAATTTTGGAAAATATATATATTTTTTTGTGTGTGTTTTTAATCTGTATTTTTTTTTTTTTTTTAGTTTTTAGTTAAATAGTTAGAAAATTCTATTTGATGGAGTTGTATCCAATTATTATAAGTGTGAAGTACTAATAAATTTCAAAAGATAATATTGAATTATTTTGTTCTTTATTTTTTCTTATGTATCTAAAGGTGCATTAAAGTGGAAATTACGTAAAAAAGTAGTCACTTACATATAGTCTAAATTTTTAGGGATAAAAGTGAGTTTCTCAAAATGTAAAATTATATATTTGGGCAATTTGTACTATAGAAGTTTTGGATTTTCTCTCATTTTAGAACAAATCCCACATTACAAACAAAAACCTAATAGTCTAATATAACACTCCAATAACATAGCACTTCAATGTAATACACTAAAAATTCATTGTTGTACTTTTTCTAAACGTAATGACGTAATACTTAAAAAAAACTTTTTAGTGAACTTTTCCCAAACATAACGCTCCAATGTAACTCACAAAAAAAAAGGTACAGTTTTCTCAAACGTAACACTCCAATTAGTGTAATATCAAACGTAATATTCCAATATAATATACTCCAATGTAACACACAAAAATACTAAAAAAAACTCCTTAGTGTATTTTTTCTAAATGTAACCCTCACAGTTTGAAATTATACATTTGCCCAAAACTTACTAAAGAATATATATACTCCTTTCGGAATAGTTTGAAGAATCTCATATTCTTTTTTTTTAGTGTTATATTGGAATGTTAAAAAGTTTTTTTTTTTGTTACATTGGAGCGTTATGTTTGGGAAAAGTACACCAAAGAGTTTTTGTTTTTGTTTTTGTTTTTGTGTGTGTGTGTGTTACATTAAAGTGTTATATTAAGAAATTTTTTTGGAGTGTTGTATTGAAATGTTACGTTTGGAAAAAGTATACTGAGGAGTTTTTTTTGTGTGTTACATTAGAATGTTACACTAAGGAGTTTTTGTGTATTAAATTAGAGTGTTACACTAAAGAGTTTTTTTAGAGTATTATATTAGAGTGTTACATTTGGGAAAAATATACTAAGAAATTTTTTGTGTGTGCTATATTAGAGTGTTATACTAAAGAGTTTTTTTGAAGTGTTATATTAGAGTGTTACGTTTGGTAAAAATATATTAAGGAATTCTTGTGTATTATATTAGGGTGTTACAATAAAGAATTTTTTGGTGTGTTACATTAGAGTGTTATACTAAGGAGTTTTTTTGGAGTATTATATTGGAGTGCTACGTTTAGAAGAAGTACACTAAGGAGTTTTTTTTTTGTGTTACATTAGGGTATTGCACTAAGTTTTTTTTTTTTTAGTGTTACATTGGAGTGTTACGTTTGAGTATTACGTTGGAGTATTACAGTTTGAAATTATAAATTTGACTAAAATTTACCAAGTAATTTTTGTACTCATTTTGAAATAATTGAAAAATCTCACATCCTTTCGGAATGTTTGAAGAATTCCATATTTTAAGTTATTTTTGTATTCCTTTTAAAATGTTTTCCAAATAAAAAAAAAAAAATTTACCTAAAAATTTATCCCAAATTTGATTCCCATATATTGTGTACCTTATTTTTTTAGCACAAAAGAAAAAAAGAGAAGGAACATAATAGAAATAAGGGTATAATCGTAAATATAATTTTTAAATAATAAATTAAATCTACCTTTCCAAAATCTATGAAACTAATTGGTCTATAAAAAAATTCTTAGGATTAAATGGATCACCATTCCTTAAGATAGAATTTATAGGTAAATTTTCCTCATTATAATAAATTTTTGTATTTTAATAAATCATATTATTTAGACATTTAATTAATTAAATCTTAATTATTATATTTAAGATATTTTATAAATAATTTTACCTTATAAATATTTTTTTAAAACATCATCTCTAACTTTGAATAGTAGAAGAGTTCAAATATGTTTTGTATTTTTTTATTTTTATTTACCAAGGTTTCTCGATGAAATTTCTCTGTGATCATATTAGAGAAATTTTAAAATTTCTTTGTAAAATCAGAGAATTTTTTTTTAAAAAAATTGAAATTTCTCTGAGTCGAAAAAAATTTCTCTGAATTAAATTTTTTCTATGAAAATGTTTAGAGACCTTAAGTACTATGAAAAATATTGTATGTCATTTATCTTATAAAATCTTAACATCGGGGACCTTAAAAAAAATTTTCGAAATTTATAAAATAATTTATTTTTTGGTAAATATTTTACTTTCTTTAAGTATATTTAAAACATAAAAAAAATATTAAAACTGTTCGCTAATAGTAGAATATGGGAATTGAATGTTAAAAAATTATTTTTGAAAACTCAAAATCAAATAGAAATACTTTTGATTTGGAGAATGTAGTCAATATAATTTTACATCTTCACTGTCCATGGCACTTGTTTTTCGTTAATGGAACAATAGCCATTCCCATAATATACTAATTCGCACTATAAAATACGCCTGCAGACTATCATTATTATTTAACCTCCGATTATACACATTTAATTTGACCAAGCCATTTGCATTGGGCGTGCAAAGGGAGAATATTTTATTAATCTTAATACTGTTTTGTTTGTATCTCAACCTCAGTTGAGAAGAAAAATTAGGCAATGCAAGTTCAATACAACTGAAATCACTTGCTAAACACCTTCAACAACACCAGTTTTTATATCGTCAACCTCCATCCATCTGAACATTACAAATAAAATTGCTTATAAAAAACAATTCTAAACAGTTTTAAAATACATTTGACTCCTTAACGTAATCTTGCATTCTTTTCCGCTAACAGTAGCATCCATTAAATATATCGCACCCTTCTGAATACTTCCAACATTACCAAACAAAGTATCTTTGTAGTCCGTCTAAACATAATAATACATAAATTTTTACACTTATAAAAAACAATTCTAAACAGTTTTAAAATACATTTGACTCCTTAACGTAATCTTGCATTCTTTTCCGCTAACAGTAGCATCCATTAAATATATCGCACCCTTCTGAATACTTCCAACATTACCAAACAAAGTATCTTTGTAGTCCGTCTAAACATCAACTGAGAAAACCGATCAATAATCTCTATTCCGTGACAAAAATACTCTTTATCCTTGCCACCGACGAGCTTGAATCTCATTTTCTTCAACATCTGAAACTTATCAAATTGGTCAGGATCAACAATCCAGGTCTCAAGATTATCCTCACCAACTCCAATAAATATCTTGTCAGTTGTGGGGACAGAACTATTATCACTTATGATGAAAAACAAAACGTGGTGGGCCACAACTTCCTCTTTAGCGTCTTATCCCAATTAATTTTATACCCTTAACCACGATTTTGGCCAATTGACGATCATATCTTTTATTTTCCAACTCAATACCATTTAGCAATCTCGCCACACCTTTGTTGTCAAATTTAACCTCCCTTAATTGTTCATCATACAATTGTAACTTCCTTACTCCCCTCTTGTTCTTTTTAATATATCGGGGAATATTCTGCACATATTGTCTATGAACATAAGCCGTCCTAAAAGGTGCACGACCCCTATAACTACGCTTATATCCACTGACTGCTGGTATCCTTGACCTCTGGTAAGCAAGGGGAGTCCGATACTAGCTGCTTACCACTCCTTCCATTTTTTAAAACACACTCCAACTGTTTTTTCCTAACATTTCTACTGGATCTGTTACCTCTGTTAACCCTTCTGTTCATACTGCTGTTGGTAGTATTGAATAGTTTGTCCTTTTAGCTGGGTTTGATTCATGGATTTGGGGATTGATATGGATTTGGATATGAATTTATAAAAAAAAAAGGAAAAGGTTGGTGAAATATGAGTCTACATTTCACATACCTTTTCTCTTTGTCTTTCCAAATCCATAAACCAAACACCGCCTAAGATCATGAATATGCTATGTGACTTGGATAAAGAAATGTATTGACTTGATAGAGAATGCCAGACTTCATGAGCTTGTGTTTGCCCTAGAACATGGGGCAAAAAGGGTTTGAAATGCTATTTCTAGATGAATCAGTGAAAAATGATGGTGGGCATGGAATGGATTCATAAACATAACCAAGAAGAGCATAACTTTCGACTTGATTCTTCTACAAAATGAAATTTTTTATAGTGACAAGGGAGTGAAAATTGGATACAAGAAAATCTAATGAAGAGGGTAAGAAAATATGAATCCAGCAATTGAATATGTAAAACAAAACAATTTAGATAATCGAAACAAGACATATATGAAATAATCACAATGAAGACTGAGGAAGATAAATCTCAACTTGAGAACTTGCAGTCGCAGAACAGAGTTGAGTTAAGAACAAACTCTAATGACATTGCCTATGGAAAATTGTTACCAGAGAAAGAAGAATGACGTCTTCAGCAGATGACAGACACAACAGTGTAGCACTACTAAGTAACTCAATGATGGACACAGTTGTAACTACCATAACTAACTGTTCTTGCTTACTGTAAGCAAGAATTTTACTTGCTTAATTTGGAAAATATGGTTGTGTGATATTATTAATTAACTCATCATGTCGTGGTCACGTGTACATATTTAGTTTGCTTTATAAACTTCACTAAAAATCAAACCAAATCAAATCAAGCCTTAAGTCTCATCAAATGGGGTGAGCAAACCAAACCAAGCTTTATGAACTTCACAATTTACATATATATATATATATATATTGCTTGCTTCAATTTGTTCAAGGAATATTTATTTGATCGCTCTTGAACTTCTGTTTGACGTGTTCATTTTTAAGTTGCAGGAAAGAAGTCTTTTACGTGGTTTGGACCAATACCAAATGTTAACATCGTGGACCCTGAACTTGTAAAGGAAGTCTTGTCTAAGAATTTCAACTATCAAAAGACCAAGTCAAATCCATTTATCAAGTTGATAGCCAATGGACTGACTACCCTTGATGGTGAGCAATGGACTAAACACAGAAAAATCATCAACCCGGCTTTCCATATGGAGAAGTTGAAGGTTATTTCCACCCATTTTTTATGTTATTAGGGTTCAATAGAGTGTCGGTTCCCAAAGTATGCACTCTGTTTCATTTTGGTCCCCACTCTCCGATTTTTCAATTGAGTTAATTTGGTCTCCGACTAATATGGTTTGATATTTCCAACAAAATCTGGAAAATAAAAAAATAAAAATACCCCATGCTTCCCTTATAAAATTTGGGTCCAAATGATGCTAAGGACCATTTAAAAACAAATTGGGCAGTTGGGGACCAAATTGACACGTTGAAATATCATGGATTAGAATGACAAAGAATGCACACTTTGAGAACCAATAGTGTATTTAACCATGTTGGTTATTTAAGCTCAGCTGCTCTATTTAGTTAAATGTTTTAGTGGTCGTTTGCTGTGTCTAAATGCAACTTCATGATAGAACAAAATTCTACATATATATATATATATATATCAATTGGTTTTCAAGTGTTGCCTTCTTCTTCTTTGTGTACAACTTGCAATATGGTTACTGACAAAGTCTTGGTTTTTTGGTTTTTTGGTCTTTTGACTTTGTTTATAGCATATGGTACCTGCATTTTATTTGTGCTGTAGCGAGATGATAAGCAAATGGGAGAACAATATTGCCTCAACAGAAGGGTCATGTGAGGTGGATGTGTGGCCTTATCTTCAAACTATGACTAGCAATGTGATATCTTGCGCAGCTTTTGGAAGCAACTATGAAGATGGAAGAAAGATATTCAAACTTCAGAAAGAACTAATTGCACTTATAATCCAGACTGCCAGTACAGTTTACATCCCAGGTGCGAGGTAAAATCAAATTGTCTCAAATACTTAATTTGAATATTTGGTTGGACTTGCATATATTAGTTTGAGAGGAAGTAAAATAGTAGGTAAAATTTTAGGTACCTCTAACATTGCTGTATTAGTTTAGCTCCTTTTTTTGTTAGAAAATGTGAGAGATATATATTTCAGTACTAGGAAAGATAAATAGAAATCTAAATATACAATATTTGAGAGAAAGAAAATGAAAAGAAAAAAAGATAGGGGGCTACAAGGACCAAATTGACACAAGAGATAAAGTTTAAGGACCACCGATATAATTTGCCCAAAAAGATGTTTATTTTTGTTTTTATTTTTTATTTATTGGGTATATTGAATGGGGAGGGGGAATTGAACCTACAACCTCCTAGTAAAGTTGATGAGTTTTGGCCACTAGGCTAACGCCAATAGTTAAAAAGATATATCATAGTTGCTAGCTAGTTATATATGATTCGCTACTGCATGTGTAGGTTTTTGCCAACTAAGAAGAATAGGAGGATGAAAGAAATTGATAAAGAAATACACGCTACACTGAGGGTTATCATCAATAAGAGAATGAAAGCAATGAAGGAAGGAGAAACTAGTAAAGATGACTTACTGGGTATATTACTAGAATCCAATCTCAGAGAAATTGAACAGCATGGAAATAACAGGAAAGATGGAATGACTATTGAAGAAGTTATTGAAGAATGCAAGCTATTCTACATTGCTGGGCAGGAGACCACGTCGATTTTGCTTGTGTGGACTATGATTTTATTAAGTAGGCATCAACATTGGCAACAACGTGCAAGGGAAGAGGTATTGCAAGTATTTGGGAATGACAAACACAAATTTGATGGCTTAAATCGCCTCAAAATTGTAAGTACATACCTTCTGTATACACTCTAGGAAATCATTAATTCTTGTGGACATTATTGCATAAAAGATTATATTCCTACTTATCAAACAAGTATTCGTTGTGTTTTGGTTTTCCTCATTGTTTATTTTTTCCCTTTCAAATTCAAATTCATGACCAGTAGACCCTCAAAATGCATGTATCAATTTGTTATGCAAATAAGATCTGGGAATAAGGGGTGACCATTGGTTCAATGGTTAAGATTTGGCCTAATAACTTTGAGGTTATGGGTTCAAGTTCTGAGACCACCACTTTGTGCATTATGCCAAAGGTGAGGTGTGTACTCAATCTTTTCTCTTCCAAACACACATTAATGTATACTAATTGGGCGTTGTTTTTTAATAAGATCTGGGAATGTTAATTTTGTTTCATATTTATATAAAGAAAATGTTAGACTACCAAAATTTCTATACAAAATCCAAAATGATATATGGCAGTGACATAATTATAAGAATAATTCTATACACCATAGGGGACTTCTAAACCTGTCAAGAGGAGGTATATATGGACCAATGTTGTTACTGGTTCTGAGCCCCTTGTTTGTTGTTCGCGGAAGGCTTTATATGAATTGAAGCAATCTCACCGTGCTTGGTTTGACCGCTTCAGTCATTTTGTGCTTGCCTATGGTTTTCAAAGATCTACCTCTGATCATTTTGTTTTTGTTCGCCAGTCCTCTGCTGAGGTTGTAGTCTTGATTGTTCTCTTGGGATTGCTGATTTGAAATACTATTTAAGTCAGTAGTTTCATACTAAGGAGCAACATGTTTGCATGAAAAATATTTTTTATGCACAATGTTGCACTTCATTTAAATTTAATTAACTGTGATCTTTAAAATTTATCTTCCTCAGGTGACTATGATTTTGTATGAAGTTTTACGGCTATACCCACCAATAGTTTGGTTGCATCGAGTGGTCCATGAAGATATGAAATTAGGAGGAATGACCCTCCCGAAGGGAGTGATAGTTTCTTTATAGGTAATGCTGCTACATTATGACCGTGAAATTTGGGGTGACGATGTAAAAGAGTTCAAGCCAGAGAGGTTTTCAGAAGGAGTGTTGAAGGCAACAAAGAACAACCAAGCTTCATTTTTCCCATTTAGTTCGGGACCTCGGGTATGTATTGGACAAAACTTCGCAATGTTAGAAGCCAAGATGGCCATAGCTACGATTCTACAACAATTCTCTTTTGAGATTTCACCGTCCTATACTCATGCTCCGTTCAAAATGGGAACTCTTCAGCCTCAATATGGTGCTTACTTGATTCTACACAAACTTTAAAGCCGAGTCTTTGCACAGGATTGAGATGGATTTCCTCTATAGCTTTGAGGGAAATGCTCTGGTATTATTTTATCAGTCCTTTCATTAATGTTTGACTTCATATACTTTCTACTATCTTGAAATTACATCAATGAACTTCCTATTTGAGTCACATCTATCTTCTTTTACATAGTGTATGTTTTGTTGGAATGAAATTGTTTCTTGTTGGTTTGAAAGCTTGGAATATTAGCATATCATCTTAAATTTTAAGACCATGATTCCATGAATTCCAATCATAACTTGCATTTCCAGCTTCAAAAAAGGAAGATAGAAGAAAGGAAAAAATAAATTATTTGTGAAGATATGTGGGGGTCATAATAATACTAACCCCCTTCTGTAGTTATTTTCATACCGCCTTGGGTGGTTTTGCTCCATTAATGACATGCCTGCCCACCTCTTTGGTACATCCATCTCTGCAATGCATTTAGTCTTATGTACATACATACTGTGAGAAACTAATGATAAATTACATTTCAGATGGAACATGTTGTGTTGAAAAGGCCATTTCAGCTTGACCTGGCCTGGCCCACTCTTGATCGCATCCGTTTCTTATTTTGTTTTATTTTATTTTTTTGGATAAATTTTTAGTTAGTTTTATGTGATAAACTTAAATAGCTCTAGGTACTGTACATAATGACAAACTTAAATAGCTATAGGTACTGTACATAGTTATGTGATAAACTTAAATAGCTTTAGTTAGTTTTGGTTAGATTCCCACCGGAACACCGACCATAGTGGCTCCTAGCCCAATGTAGAAACTGACAACAAAGATAAGGAACAGGAGAAATGATCCCACCTGAAGCTCTAACAATGGAGCAACTTTACAAAGAAGGAATTGGGGTGACTGTTATGCTCCCTATACCGTAGTTATTGTTGTGCAGCTGATGGTTCTTATTTCAAGATTTTTATATATATAACTATAAAAAAGTGGTAAGAAACGAAGAGAAACCGAAAGAGTTTTCAAATCACGATTCAATTAATTGTTATGCAATTTTCTAAATAAATGAAAGTTATGAGAAAAAAATTGTAGAACAACTAACACGTGAGATTCAATCAAGAGCTTTCGACTGACTCCTAGATCTATGATCATAACAAAGCCTACGGCAAAGCACATAACAAATTGTATTTATAGACCAATTCGAAGAGCACTAAATATTAAATACGTGCATAAACATATCTTAGCAACTTTGTGGATACAATCTGAAGACATCTCAACAATTTCCAAAACAATTCAAGTTTTTATTTTTTATTTGTATGGTCCATGATTTGTGCGTTGGAAATACTAGGGTACACATCCTATGCATCTTCTAATTAAAAAAAAAAAAAAAAAATGACATAATTTTAATTTTTTAAATCATAATTAAAAAAAGAAAAAAATATCGTAACTAAACACAACATAAAACATAACTAAAGAATTTATGAGTTATGATTAAAATAATATTATAATTAAAAAAAAAACATAATCAAAGGTATATATGATACACCTTTTTTAAAAGGGGATGTATTAAAATTTTTAGTGTTCATAACATGGTGGCCATTTAGGGATATTGTCAAACACATATAGCTTTCGTTTGGAATGCGAGTTGATTTTTTGACTTTTTTTACTATTTTAATTTAGACTAAAAATTCTTATTTGGGATGAGTTTTTTAATTTTTTTTTTACTATTATGAGAGAAAAAAATGAAATGATTATAGTTTAAATGTAATATTTTAACTTATTGACTTTTTAATTTATTTTATTTTTTTAACTAAATAAAAAAAAAATGCCAAACGTAGCCATGATCAGCAACACGTGCGAGCTTTGTAATAGGAAAACATGAAAAGAACCTCACATCGGAACAACACAGGATTAAATTGCAATAGGGAAACAAAGCCTTAAGTCCCAAAGACAACAATAAGGGCATGTTTGGCATTTCATGCATTAGGTTCATTGCATTTTTTGGCCCGGTTTGGTAGAGCTGCGGGAAGGTGATTATAGCTTATAGCTTATAACTGTAAACATAAGTTGATTTTTGACTTATAAATTAAGTTTCTCCTCCTCCACTTAAAGAATAAGTTGATTTTTGACTTACAAAAAGCTATAAACTGTATTGTTAAGCTAAATCAAACACATCAAAAAGCTATAAGCTATAATCACTTTTCCATAACTCTACTAAACGGGGCCTTTGTAATGATTAATAGATAAGGGTGGTGTAGAGTCAACAATGAATTTTATACTGCCGACAAAATTGTCAAAGTTGGGGTGCCATCACATCACCATGCTTCTGCATCTGAGGCTTTTCCCATATTAAACCAAATTACTATCTTAATTCTCAAACTAGGCCTAGTTTGGACGGAATTTCTAAACTAGGCTAAAGCACTATTACAAATCACGCTTTCACTGTTTGGAACAGAAAATTTGATGAATAGTGAAAGCGCTATTATAAACTATGCTTTTAATTAAAAAAGTGCGGTTACAAACCACGCTTTTAACATAAATATGAAAAACGCTATTACAAACCACATTTTCACTGTACATATTGTTTAAATTTTTTTTCTGAAGAAAACGTGGTTTCACTGTGCATACAATTTAAGTTTGTTTTCTGAAGAAAACGTGATTGTGAATCGCGCTTTCACTGTTCACTACAATAAGCGTGGATTGAAACCACGCTTTTCACTGTTCACTACAATAAGCGTGGATTGAAACCACGCTTTTACTGTTCATTTAAATTTTATTTTATTTTATTTTATTAATTTTTTTTTTCTATTGTCATTGTTTTGGTGATAATGTAATTCATAAATTTTTTTTGGCTTTTCTAAAGCCGTTCTCATGTTATTTTTTTTTTCTTTTGTCTTTATTTTGGGTTAGAATGTGTAATTCAGGAATTTTTTTTGGTTTTACTAAAGCCGTTTTCATGTAATTTTTTTTTTCTTTTGTCTTTGTTTTGCGTTAGAAGGTGATAATGTAATTTAGAAATTTTTTTTGGCTTTACTAAAGCCATTTTCGTGTAAAATTTTCTTTTTTTTCTTTTGTCTTTGTTTTGGATTAGAAAGTGTTATTCATAAATTTATTTTGGCTTTACTAAAGCCGTTTTCATTTAAATATATATATTTTTTCTTTTGTCTTTGTTTTGGGTTAGAAGGTGATAATGTAATTTAGAAAACCGGTTTAGCATAACCGTTTTCTAGCCGTTTTCATTAATTTTTTTTTTCTTTCGTTTTTGTTTTGGGTTAGAAGGTGATATACATGGTCTACAGTCCGAAGCACACCCAGACACTGTGCAGTTCAACGAACAACGACGAAGGGTGAGACGTGAAGAGCACCGCGGAGTAGGCCAAGAAGACGAAGGTCACCGCGAGAGCTGCAGCAAGAATGAAGAACAGAAAGATCTCAAATTTTGGTGATATATTTTTTACATACGAATGGTACTTTTTCCATTTTTTGCTATGTAATGTAACTTGTATGTAATTTGAATTCCAATTAGAAACAGGAACTTATGTAATGTAAATATTGGGTTGGAGTTGATGTTATTGTGATTCAATTGGTTTTGCTTATTTCATAAGACTGATGTTGTGCAATGAATGAATGAATGAATGGAAAGATTATTTATTTTATTCAATTGGTAGTGTATTTTTTGTAAGAATGAGAACGATATTTGTTATATTTAATGAATAATGGTTACATTTTTGGGTTGTCACGATTGAGAAGATGTACAAGTTAAGAGAATGTGTATTTCTCCTAAAATAAATTTTGTCAACATTTTTGTAATAAAACTTAATACATAATATACGAAGTCATTAATTTACTAAATACTCATACAGGCATGAAAACAACATAACTGAAGTTGCAAATGTAACAGTTTCCAGTTACATAGGTAGTACAGACATAAGTCTCCCACAAAAATACATTCTGGACACCATGAACTGAACACACAATACATACATCCTGGACATCCTGAACTGAACACACAATACATAAACATAACAGTTAGACAGACAACTATTAGGTAGACAATTTGACAAACTCATTACGGAAATACTTAGTCTAACACAGACATTACACATTAATGCATGACCTAATATTGCCGAAGTGTAGACATTAACACCTAATTCGCGCTTAAATCGGCAATCTCAGAGTCTGAATAATCTGAAAGCTCAGCGTCAGAGACAAGTTCAGGATCCTCCATAATACCCTTGATAGTCGTAACATTTGATTCTGTTCTGTTTTTCTGGGCATCCTTCTTAACTATGTATAGTTGCATATCGCGGGCTAACCTACGACGCATTTGAGAAATCTCACGTTGTAGTTTTTTACATAGTCGATCAACATTATCAGGATCTTCCTTTTGGATCTCAACAGAACGTGCTTTTGGCACCTTAAGTTGATTTTTCCCACTTAAGGTTTCCAACTGTACCCGCTCTATAAATAGTGCGGGCCACTTGAGACGCGCAACGTCAGATAAACCATATCATGTTTAATTGTCAGATGGGTCCATACATGAACCTCCTTGAACTCGATAATACTTGGGCATAAAAAAATGTCGCTTCTCAAACCTATCACGATAACTACAAGCATAATCTAAAACACGTATTGTTGTTTCGTCTTCAGCATCGCCACGTCCCCTTCCCCCTCCTCATCGTGAACTGTCACCCTTTTGCAAGTTCGTACCACCTCTGCGATTCCCATTCCCTTCCATGAATCGTGTAGCCATGCTTATTTTTTTAAACAAATGAATGATAATTTCGTAGGGCGAAATGAGTTGTAAGGTTGTGTCTTCACCTTTAGTCATTTAAATAGTTGGTTATGAACGACTTTAGAAAGATGCCTCTGCATCACAATCCCACATATACGAACAAGGTATGAGTTGTTACTAGAATGACAAAACAGAGAAAAACAAATACTGTGTACCAAGGCACGTGACTTGACAATCCATCTGCATATATCGACAAAATAAGGGCATGCTCACTGTAAGGTAGGGATAGCAATGGGGGTTAATGGGGTGGATATTAATTCCCCATTCCCCATGGGTATCACCCTCCCCATTTCTTAATAGGTATGGATTTTCCCCAACCCACTTTAATCCCCATTTTTATTTTATATATTTAATGTTAACAACCACTTTTTTTTTTTTTTTATAGCTTTTAGCTAAATATACCTTCAATCTTTTTTCTTTCTTTTTTAATATATTTAATGTTA